TAGGCCAGCATCTGCGCTAGACTCTGATAAATCTGATCATATTGAACCTACTCAGGGAGAAAGCGATTTGATTCTCACAGGCAAAATAAACAAATTAAAAGGGTTAAAGAAATTACCTACTTTATTCAATACTAGGCAAGTAACAATATGGTATTCGATAGAAGATGTATGCTTTAACACCACACAGTTTAATTCCATAGCACTTGTCTTTCCTGTCAATTGCTCTCTGCCAATTCTCATAAAAATTGAGAAACTAAACCAAGAACACTCTCTATCCATATTGATTTCTCCTACTAAAGAGGAGGCATTTACAAACCAAAGCGGTGTGTGTGTGTGTATGGTGACAAAACAAACCAAACTCTGCAACCTTTTTATTGAGTCAAATTGAGTTAATTTGTGTGCATTCTTAGTCTTTCCTGAAGCCTGTAAACCCTGTGGAACGGTGTCTGGAGCTGGAAAATAGATGCTATTAATCAGTAGTTAGTAATTAACCTGTACATGTGATTCATTGAACTCAGAGTGGTTTTATTTTTTTTAATTGAGATAATCTTCTAAAATCCATGGATTTATATTAGCTTCACATTTTGTGGTGGCAAGGTCCCTTGATCCTAGGAACACCTTTATAGCAACAGTCAGCCAAAGTGAGTAACCCTACTCTTCTGATGAGATGCAGGTTCCTCAGTCCCCATGATCCCTACTACTCTCAATTGCATCTATACTCTGAGGCCACCACAGCTGCAATCTTTCATTATGTTCGTGTGATTGTTTTAATTATATAAAAGAAACAGTCTCCAAAACTTCTCTTTTGACAGATTGAATGGCTCATCTCAATTCTTCACTATCCTTGCAGCTGTCACTTTATGGTGTTCTCCTCCTGGGCGGAGTGTACTTCCCCAATCTTTAATATTAACACCATATATGGCGTGCTTTCACCAAATGAGACCATAGTGAAAATTCAAGATGTGGACCCACAAGGTCTTGCATATATATGTGTGCTTACCCCCTTATACCTGTTATTGTCTTAGAAGACTTTCCCATAGGTTACTAACACCCCTTCAACCTGAGTTCAGGAATAAAGCAGTAGAGAACAGACCTGACTCAACCATCCAGAGAACTGCAGGGAGAATCATACACCAATGCCCAGAAGCAATAGAGCCAGTCAGTCAACTTGACATCTGTGAGAACCGCTATGGATGCTTGAAAGCTACTATTTTGGGAATGATATGCTATAGAACAGTACCATTCTACAAAAATAAATAAAAGACTTAAAGAACCAGATATATTTTTTTCTTACATGAAACCCTGGTTGATGTTAACATTAACAGTCTAGGTCCCCCAGACAATTAAATTTTATAATTCCTGCCATAAAACTGTAAGTTTAAGAACTACAGAAGGTTGAGGTTTTGAAATATTACTAAACAACTATATATCTAGGTTTGATTGAAATGGCCCGATTTTTGCCTGTTGTTGATAGCTCCTGGTTTGACAATAAGCATGAGCACTCTATTTGCATTCAGACATGGGTTAAACTCCCTTACCAGCTGGTGGAATCACTTCATTCTCTTTATGAATCCCAATTCAACAGCCATGACTCTTACTTTCTTTTGTATATAATTTTGGGCTGGTTGAAATCATGATGTCAGGGTACACAAGTCTTAAGAAATATTACTTGGGATAAGTCAGAGTTAGTAAGTGCCGAATTCACAACCATCAACCAAATAACAATCAAATCAGATCCCAGTTGACTGACACTGAGAGGATTTACCAGGCTATTTTATACACAGAAAATGCTTAAACCAACAGCAATATTAAAACAATCAAGTGCCCCTATAAAAGAAAGTTCTTTCTTCAGAAGGCAATAATTGCTACATCTGAGTACATCTGCTTAACAATCCAGGAAAGTGGGAGTTTCGTTCGACATTAACCTTAACCAGAGACATTTTCATCAAAATTAATCGTGATTACTTTTTATTGCATTTCAACTACTATCCTTTATTTGGGGTGGTCAGGAATGCAACTAAGTAATTCCAGACCATGCTATCTTTTATGAATAGGTCTATGAGGTAGTTATCAAGACTTCTTATGAAAATATTACCATACAAAAGTTCATGCACCAAAACATGACATTAATTTCCATAACTGCATATGTCCTTACAAAGGAAAAAAGATACTATATATAGAGAAAAGTCAGCAATGTAGATGCCCAATGTATACAAGAGGAGCCTATATATTCCTTTGTATAACAGACACCTCTAAAAATGTTTCTTTTATCTTTTCTTTATTATTATAATAATAGTCAACCATTAGCAATTTGAGCATAACTCATGCCTAACACAACTTTAAATTATTTTTATATATTGACTCTTTAATTCTTACAACAACTCTGGAGCTGACACAATTATTATTATCATTTATAGGTGAGGAAACTGAGATTTAGATAAGAAACCTGTCCAAGAATATTCAGTTAATAATTTATAGAATATAGAAAACTGGCAGGGCACTTTAGTTTCATAGTCAGTTAAAGAAAGATAATCACACTCATTTCACCATCACCATGATTAATTGGTCAGTCAAATTTTGTGCACTGACTATATTATACTATGTGACTTCTATATCTTTCCTGATAGGCACTTTTGTAGAGGACCTAACCTACTGCTCTATCCCTCCCATGTCAAACTCATTCAGCTCCAGCCCTACCCTTTCCAAGTAGTCCTTTTGCCAGTACAGATTTCTTACCTGTCTCTTTTAATACTCCAAAGCTTTTAGTTACTAAAGACAGTCAGATCTAGGGTTCAGTCTTGGCTTTGTTGCTTGCTAGCTAAGTAATTTGGAGTCAATTATTTACCTCTTGAAGTTTTTCTCATGTGTCAAGTGGGATAATGGTTAATCTACCCCTATAATATCTGTAGTAAATCTCTTATTTTCACCTGTTACAAAAGACAGTAACAGAACTCTTCTCTCATGTGGAATCACCTGTCCTCACATCCAAACCATGGAATTCAAGTGAGGCCAAATACTTCCTCCTAGATTCCACATGATTTCATGATCCTACCCTGGACTGGCCAATTAATGTATTCTGCCAGTCCCTGATTTTTTGCTAGAATTACTAAAAATAATTTTTCTTGGGAGCTAGTGGGATAGTATAGCAGGTATTATGCAGCTGACGCAGGTCCGATTCTTAGCATTCTATAAGGCCCCAAGTACCACTCAGTAATTCCTGAGTGCAGAGCCAGAAGTAACTCCTGAGCATCACTGGGTGTTCCACCAATACCAAACAAAACAAAAGAAATAATTTTTCTCTTCTTCCCTCCTCCACCCTGAGTCATTGTACTCATAGACTGTAAGCTTTCTGTTGACAATCATTATTGACATTAGTATGAACAACTTTCCCAAGACTCTACAAAGAACAAAAGCATACCTATGAGAAGGACTAAGGCTGATTCTAATATCATTATTTGAATTCCTGAATGTAGTTAGGTCTGAAATACCCTTCTGACTTTTTCAGTTGATTGCTCCAAAAGATTCACATTTTGCTTAGATCAGATTAACCAGTGCTCTTGTAACTTGCAATTAAGAATGCTACCTAACCCAACTGACATACCACATTACCCAGCATATTTAAAACTTTAGTAAATGGTACTAACTATTGTTTTTCTCTGTTAGTTTTCATGAAGGCATGAAAATTCCAAGTTAGGTCTATCTCTACCACTTATGAGAATATCACTTCCTGAGTGTTTTGAGACTAGTTTTACCATTTGCAAAATCATCAACACAGTTTCGAATAATACATATGGGCATATAGCTGGCAAGGCAATAAAATGTTCTGGAAATCTTGATGATTGTTGTCTCCAGTCTATATCTTCAATCTAGCATTGAATATGACTGCTGGAGAAACTAAGACCTAAAACCCTGAGACATAAAGAACACTAAATAAGCTGTAAATTGAATTCAAATAAGCTCCTGGTTCATGAGAAGGTTATCCAAGAACTGAACAAAGGACTTGATACAATTATAGCAGAATTGTTTGAATGGCACCATTATGGTATTTCCAGGACACAGAGCAAAAAAGAAATTAATATTGACTCAGCCCCAAGTGCCATCTTCTCTATAAGATATTGCCCTATTATTTCCAACTGTGGAATTATTACTTATTTCTCTTTTTAAAAATTAATTTTAAAATGAGCTATGAGTACATACTAAAATTATCTAACGTCTCCTATCTCAAAGGAGGAAGCCTAATATATAACTGGAGAAAGACACTAATTAATAAGCAAAATTCAACATGAATTCCAGCCAAGTTGAACTTGAACTGCTCGGTTTTAAGGCACACTGAAATAAATAAAGGACTTCAAAGAAAATACCCTGTTTTAGCTTGAATGTTTTATAGAACACGTGGGGAGTGCTCCCTTGCCAAAAATAGGAATAGTTAATGAGGAAAAATTGTGTTTTCAGTCACTCAGTTGGTTTCCAAGATAGGCCCATCCATTCAGAGATAACTGTATTCTACAGAAAAGACAGAATAATGATCTGTCTCAGTCTTAGAGTTTTGAACAAAACAAAACCAGTTTTGTAAACTGTCTGAGATCAGCCTAATGCATCCTTTTCCAAATGCCCTTTGTGATAATACACATACATTTCCTTTCTGTTAACACCAAAACAACTTAAATATAATGCTAAGAGGAAGGCATTTCTGTACCTTAAGCTTCTTGCCAACTATGTAAATGCAGTCCTTACCTTTTAAGGTGAGGTTCAGGAATCAAGAGACTGTCTTCAACACTGTAGTCTCTACCAAAATGTTCTCTTTTTTTCAAGCACCATACTGAAAATAATGCTCTGTGCTTGGACAGACCTAACTAGTTCCCTGAGAATACATTATTAGTGCTGTACTCAAAGCAAAGACATGTTTCCCATTTCTGTGCATATTTTTCTCACAGTAACAGGTAAATTTCAAAGATAGGTTATCTCCAATCCTTTAGGGACTTAAGGAAGTATGAACTCACCTGCAAGTGCTGTGAGTTGTCAGCCATGCTGTCTTCTCGCCTGCGAACTTCTTCCAACAACTGTGCATTCTTCTTCTTTTCTAATTGTTGGTTGTGCTTGAGGTTGGCCACCTTCTTATTCTGATCTTTCATATGCCTGAGAAAAGTCAGCATATCTTGGTTAAATTCAGCCTCTGGATGAACACTGGTCACAAGTAATACTGAGTAGACAATATCCTGATCCTGATATAGGTTCAGAAAAAAATGCAACCTTAGAACAGTCTACTCATTCAACCATGAATATGTGTAGAATGTCCACTCAATGGCCAAGTACAAGGCAAGCAGTGGGGCTGCAGTAGTAAAAGGAGCCAGGTACAGCCTTCCCACTCTTCATAGAACTTGGTGTCCAACAGGAAGAGACAGGTACGATGAAGACAGCGTAGGTTTCCAAATGTCGAAGGGAACAAATAACAGGCTCTTGTAGGTGAACAAGCAGAATACATGTGTGGTCACACAATGGTGTGGAAAGATGAGTTTAATCACTGTGCCAAACAGATTGCTTCCCTAAAGAGATAAGCCGGTGGCTGAGGATTGAAGGAGCCAGCCCTGAAATGCCAGTGGAAGAATTTCCCAAGTAGAGAGAAACTGAGGTATACTTTTCAGGGCAGAAAAGTACCCAGCTATCTCTGGAAACTCTGGCTCTACCTCTGGCTGCAATGAGTCTACCTCTTAGAAGTTTGGGGGTATCGGGACTGATATAGGCACCTCAGTAGTCATAAAGGGATTCAGGGCACAAAATCTGCAATGGGCCCATTTATTTTCTTCCACGCAGTTGCAGTTCTAATTAGTATTATTCTTTTGGATCATGTTCCTATTCTGAGATCATAATCCATTACTTAGATTTAAAAATAACAATTACAAGGCACCAATCAAATACACTGTCATCACTTAGCTCAAACAGAATAATACTTTGGCTAATCATCATGTTAAATGCAGTTTTGTTGCTTGTAATAAATGTTCTTAATGAACCTTCAGGATGTCAAAGTATAAAATCCTGACGTGATCAAGTTAGTAAAAGGCTAAAGATAAAGGACAGGTTAAAAGGGAGAGAGCCAGAGGGAGGGAATTTACAAACTTAATGGGAAGCATTTCACCAGCAGCATTTAACAAAACATTCCACAGATTTAGGCAACCATATCCACAGCAGCTGTTATAAATCTTATCCAACATATGAGGAAGTAGAAGGGCAGCACAGAGAGTTTGGAATAGTGATTCTAAAAGACACAGAGCAGAATCATTGGAGATCCTTTCTAATCCCTTTTCCCATCTCCCCAATACTGAAAAATCGACCACTCTTTCTGAGTCTTGACTCCAGAGATAAGTATATGGTGAATCACTATTCTTCTGGAAATACGGAGATGAAAAAGGGATGGTAAACAGCAACTTGAAACAACTAATATACACATGGAATCCACTTTCAGTAAGAAATTATTTCTAGTTCTCATACAATTATATACTCCCTAAATTCTTTCACTTCGTGTTTACAAAGATTATTTGTACTATTAGAAATTCTGTCAGTAAAATATTTTGAACATTTAAGTTCCTTAAAATTATTTACAGATTCTCTCAGCATCACTTATCCTTAGGGAAATCCAAACCAAGACTACAATGAGATACCATCTCACATTACTGAGAATGGCACATATCAAAAATAGTGGGAACAATCTGTTTTGGAAGGGATGTGGTAAAAAATGAACTCTCATCCACTGCTGATGGGAATGTTGTCTGGTTAAATTCCCCTGGATAACAGTACATAGAATCCCACTGTTGGGCCTCTAATCCTAGGACAGAAAATCATTCATTCAAAAGGACATATGCACACCTGCACACCACTGTTTATTGCAGCACTTAGTACAACAGCTAAGATATAAAGTAAACCTAGATGTTCAATGACAGATGATTGGGTTATGAAATGTAGCATATAAATATATATAGCATATATACATATATATACACATACATACATACATTGAAATAATATGCAGCTAAAAGTAAAGATGAAATCATTCAATTTGCTGCAAACTGGTTGGAACTCAAAGATATCATGTTAAGTGAAGTAATCCAGAAGAAGGACAAACACAAAATAATCTCACTCACCAGTGGTGTATAGAATAAATTGACGAGGAAATGCAAATGGGGTCACCCCTGACCCTAAGGTACAGGGAGGAGAAGAATAGAGAAGGAAAGAAATCAAGGAGAGAGAGGAAGAAGATAAAGGGAAGTAATAGGAGTCAGGGGCCTTGGTTTTACCAGTGATCTGGGAGACTGATAGAGCTACATATTCAAGCACTGTCTCAAGAACACTGAAAACATGAGTTCTAGACTACATCCACTGAACTTTTAAGTGTGCCTGTCAAGGTGGGAAATGGAGGACATGAGCATGGGTACACTGATGGAGAGAAGTCCACAATGCTGTAGGATTAATGTCAAATATCTTATGACAGATAATTTCCTCATTGGCCACCCTCCAGAACTCACGGCTTCTTCTCCCGGAGAGGAGCATAAAATGATGTCCCCATAACCCTGCCACCAGACTCCACACCAGGCTGTTTTCACTCGGGGCACCCCAGAGGGGTACGGGTGAGAACCCTCCCTACCCCAAGGGACCCAGTCCCAGCAGCCAACCTCCACTACCCAACCACCGCCACACTCCAGGCTGCTTTCCACATGCTCAGGCTGAGCCTCATGTATGAGTGAACATATTCCTGGACCTGGACACATCATAGGCCACTCCCTACCCATTTTTCATAATTGCCACACCATATTTGATGGGGTTCAGACAGTAGGCAACAAATCATAGAGGTAAATATATAATATGCCTCTAGGAGAGTCAAGCAAGCTATTGAGAGTATCCCGCCTGCACAGCAGAGCCTGGCAAGCTACCTGTGGCATATTCAGTATGCCAAAATCAGTAACAATAACGGGTCTCATTCCACTAACCCTAAAGAGCCTCCAATACAGCAGCGTTGGGAAATATGAGTGAGGAGAGGCTGCTAAAATCTCAGGGCTGGGATGAATGGAGACATTACTGGCACCTGCTTGAGTAAACCGATGAGCAAAGGGATGACAGTGATACAGTGATACAGTGAACTTATGCCTTAAAATCCACCTATCAATAACCTTGTCAATCACGTTTTTTTAATCACTATCACTCTATCACTTTCATCCTGTTGATCATCGATTTCCTCTAGCAGGCACCAGTAACGTCTCCTTCGTCATAGCCCTGAGATTTTAGAAAGGGCCACATTCAAGGCTCTTTCAAGGTCAGGAGAATGAGACCCATCATGGTTACTGGTTTTTGGCAAATTGAATACACCACAGGGAGTTTGCCAGACTCTGCCGTGTGGGCAGGATACTTTTGGTAGCCTGCCAGGTTCTCCAGAGTAAGAACTAGATAATAAGATGTCGCCTGGTGCGAATGTGGCCGCACGCTTCCGGGAACTGGGTTTTATAGTCTCTGGGTCTTGGCCGTTGATGGGACTACACAGCGCCAGGGGGAGTTGGTGGGTGTAATGCCTACATACTGGAAGATGGGGGATCTGGGTGGAAGAGGCCCAGTCCCAATCCGAGCAGGGTTGGAGATCTATACCCCTTGTCCTGCACACCTGGGTTCCTCTGCCAGTTCCTTCCTGCGTGAGGCTCGTCCGAATGTGTGGAGAGTGGTCTTAAGCATGACTGTGTCTGAAACCGGAGGTCTTTAGCTGCCAAGGCTCTGCTCAAGGTGGGGAGGGAAACTCAACCCACCCTCCTCCAAGGGGCTCTGGTGAGGACATCCAGGCGCAGAGGCAGGAGACTCTGCGCTGTTCTCTCCCGGAAGCATGGGTTTTATAGTCTCTGGGTCTTGGCCATTGATAGGATTACACGAAACTGGAGACAGTTGGAGGGTGTAATGCCTACATACTGGAATATGGGGCATCTGGGTGGAGGAGGCCCAATCCCAATCCGAGCAGGCTTGGAGATCTATGCCCTGGGTCTACCTGGATCTACCTGGGTTCCTCTGCTGGTTCCTTCATGCGTGAGACTATCCGAACGTGTGGGGAGTGGTCTTAAGCATGGGTGTCGCTTATTTTTAAAAAATATTTCAAAAAAATATTCTGTTGCCCTTGAAAAATTTTTCCATTCTGTCTGTAGTAGGAGGCCTACATGGCAGGGAGGATGGAAGGGGATTGGATGGGAGGATGTTGGACACTAGGACAATGGTGGAGGGAAGTGTATACTCTCATGGAAGGTGTGATACTGCAATATTTAATGCATGAAACCATACCATTAACAATATTGTAAATCACTATGCCTAAAATAAAGTAAAATTTAAGTTAAGAGATATTTAAATAGCCAACTAAACAGTGATTTAAATTCTGACCATACTTATTAAGAGAATATAAGGTGAGACAGAAGAGTTTTTGTCATTAAGTGGATCACGATCACGATCACGATCATGACCATCCTGTTATTCATTGATTGCCTCGTGCAGGCCCCAGTAACGTCTCCTTCATCCTAGCCCTGAGATTTTTAAAAAAGTGCCATATTCAAGATTCTTTCAGAGTTAGGAGAATGAGACCCATCATTGTTACTGGTATTTGGCATATTGGGTACGCCATGGGGAGTTTGCCAGACTCTGCCATGTGAGCAGGTTACATTCGGTAGCCTGCCAGTTTGTCCAAAGTAGGAATGAGATAATGAGATGTCGCATTCGCGGCCTCGCTCTTCCGGGAGCTGGGTTTTATAGTCTCTGTGTCTTGGCCGTTGATGGGATTACACAGCGCCAGGGGGCCAGTTGGTGGGTGTGACCCCTGCCTGCTGGAATTTGGAGGATCTGGGTGGAGGATGCTCAGCCCCAATCCGAGTAGGCTTGGAGATCTCAGTCCCAGGACCTGCATGCCTTTGTTCCTCTGCCGGCACCTTCATGTGTGTGGAGAGTGGTCTCAGGATGGTGGTGGCTGGTTCTGGAGGTCTTCAGCCACTGGAGCCCTGGTCAAGGCGGGGAGGGAAACTCAATCCGTTCCCCTCCAAGGGGCCCCGGCTAGGACAGCCAGGCGAGGGGACAGAAGACTCTGTGGATAATTTTTTTTCTTTGGGTCACACCTGGAGATTCTCAGG